AGTTTTGATCGTGTGGTGGATGGGTGTGATGGTGTTTTTCACACAGCTTCCCCCGTGTTTTTGGATTCTCCTGATTACCAGGTTCATCACTTAATATTTGCGTTTCTCTGTAACTGTGTCGTTGATAGATCTAAATCTAATAAAAAGGCAATTCCAATCTCAGGCGGAATTAATCGATGCAGCGGTGAAGGGAACACTTAATGTTCTCTAGTCATGTGCAAAAGTTGCGTCAATTAAGAGAGTAGTTTTGACATCTTCAATGGCTGCAGTTGTACACAATGGAAAACCTCGCACTCCGGATGTGGTAGTTGATGAGACTTGGTTTTCTGATCCAGATTTCTGTGAGAAATCTAAGGTGTATATATGATTTATCATCACCTTTACTTTGTCTAATATATATATATATATATGAAAAAATACATGTTGGTATTTACTTTTAAAATAAATTAGAATTTTAATTTTAAATTATATTGTTTATTTAATTAAAATTCAATTAAAAATTTAAAAACTTATTTTATTAAATATTGATATTTAAGTTTAGAAACTAATTATATATTCTAATATAATTAGTTTTCAAATATAAACATCAATATTTAATAAGATCAATTTTTGAATTTTGAATTAAAATTTTAATTTTTAAATATAAGTTGGGATTCTAATTTTTATTAAAAATCAGGATTAATACACATTTATCTCATATATATATATATATATATGTATACAATATGAATTAGAGATCAATTTTGAATATATAAAAATGGCTAAAAGTAGTTGTATATGTGTATTATTATCAGCGTTGGTATGTCCTTTCGAAGACATTAGCTGAGGAGGCTGCTTGGAAGTTTGCAAAGGAGAACAGGCTTGATTTGGTTACAATAAATCCAGGATTTGTGATTGGTCCTATTCTACAGCCAACCCTTAATTCTACTGTGGAACTCATCTTGAACATCGTCACTGGTAATTAATTACCAGTATATATATAATTGCAGTAATATTGGGGAATGGTAGCAATTGTTACATTTATAATATAGTCTAGCTAGTCTGTGCTAAAAAGTGTTTTGTATGCAGGACGGGAACTCCCATCACATGGTGTATTTGTGGATGTTCGAGATGTTGCGCATGCTCATATTCAAGCATTTGAGATTCCTTCGGCTACTGGCAGATACTGTATGGTTGAAAGCACCGTAGATGTTACTGAGTTGTGGAAGATCTTGCATCAACTTTTCCCTATGTTCCACCTCAATGAAAAGTAAGTTGAATTTCAATTTCTTTTTTCACAATCACACTAGATCATATATCATCTTATGTTTTTATAATCTAACTGATTTGAATTGTTTCTATAGATTTGAGGATAAGCCTATTCAGAAACAGTACCAAGTATCCAAAGAGAAAATTAAGAGCTTGGGTGTCAACTTCATTCCTTTGGAGGTGAGTCTCAAGGACACTGTTGAATACTTGAAGGAAAAGGGTTTCATTACCTTTTGAATCTCAACTATTGACTTTACTGTTATCAACTCTCCTTTTTCCCCCTTCATTCAGTTTTTATTAATTTTTCTTAGTTTTTCAATAAAAATCATGTGGCTGTACCAAGAAAATAGATATTATTCTCAAACAAACCAGAGAGAGACTCCCTTGCTATTTGTAAAGCATTTGTTTCTATATGGAATACGCTTGTTCATATTCTTTAGTATTATATTGTTGGCAAAGAATGGTTTGAAACCAAAAAAATATTGTAACAAAAAAAGTGTACAACAAATTAACACTGCAAATGAAATAACTACAGATGAATAAACAATAAAATTGGAGTCAATTTATAAGAAAAAATGTAATTAGAATAGTCTAGGTTGAAGCACCCAATAGCTGTTTATTGACGTAGCTGGTACTATGGTTAGTTCAATTTGGTTAAAGTTACTTTTCATTCATGAATCTTCCCAGTTCAAAATTGTTGAGTATCACAATGCATAGATACTCATAAGTGAAGCCAGAAAACAAAGAATCAGAAATGAACAAGAGGGTATAGATAGATGTAACACAACAAAAATGAAATGATCCTTCTCCCAGAAGCTGCTACTTTTCCTAACAATTCATCTCTAAGCATCAATCTTTCTGCAGCATCATCACT